GTTTTTTCGTAAATACACATATGTGTACAAAACCGTAAAACTCAGAATTTACATCTATCACTTCTAGTCATTAAAAAGTTAAAAAATAGATTTTTGTAGCTACTTAGGACCTATAGAATATGGATCAGTTGAGAGCACATTGAAATTTTTTTAAAAAGTGTGTTTTTGGGACACCCTAATAGATATTAGATCCTATCGAAGTTCAAGTTTCATTTGATATAGTCAATGTATATCCATCCATACCCATTGACGAAGCAATTCTGGTTGTTATTGATATATTGAACGCTGACATTAATGACTTAAAAACTCGAACTAAAATTACTCTTGCATTACCAATTAATTGAATTTTCGTTAGGTATATGCTATTTTTTATTTGAAAACAATATCCAAATAGTACATAATTCAGGTCCTATAGGTTTATCTTTAATGGTTGTTATGTCGTAAACGTTTTTACAAAATATAAAAAGAAAAGCCAAAACTTATACAAAAACAAAAACCAAAAACTTATAATAGATATGTAGATGATTATCACGCTCGCTTTGCTTCTATAAAACCACTACAAATGATCTTGAACATCCTTAATGAACAACATCCTCCCATAAAATACACAGTGGAATTTGAAAACGACTTAAAACAACTCATTTTCCTATATAATAATATTACAAACACAGGCTCTCGAGCTTATGAATTTCAAATACATAGAAAAGAAGCTATTACAACTGTTCAACTTAAACCTAACTCGAGTATTAATTCTAACATTATTATTGGCGTTTTTAAAAGATTTTTGTGTCGTGCCAAAAAAATATGTTCTCAAAAACACCTTCAAAAAGAAATTGATTTTCTAATAGACATCTTTGTTGAAAATGGCCACGACAAGAGCATTCTAAATAGTATTACTATAGAATATTTAAAAACGGTTCAAAGAACACCACATTTAAACCATTAGATACCCAACTCTTTATAAAACTACCTTGGATACCAATTGTTGGTCCATAACTTCGTAAAGAATTTTGAAAGCAAAACATAAAGGTTATTTTCACATCAACTCCCAATTTAAAAAAACATTTTTTGCAACAATAAAACTTAACTATCACTGAACACAAGCCATGGCGTATACCAGCTAAAATGTTCATGCGGGTCGATTAACATTGGCGAAACTAAAAAGAAGGAGGTATCAGGATTTATTAAACACCAGAAAGACAGCTTAAAAGAAAAATGGTCCACTTCAGGTGCAACTAAAAATTCTAAAACATGCAATGGTAAGTTTGATTGGTTGCACCTCAAAACATTATCGCTAGCCCCAGAATATCAAACTTAGAAAATCAGAGAGTCACTCAAAATAAAACAAGGCTAGGTTTCGACAGGAGTTGAAAAACGTTAATGTGGTTCATAATCAGGATGAAGGTGATAACGTAACAACTAAAACATGGGGCCATTTTTTACTAAAACCTGCTGACGTCAGTTATTT